TTTTTCATTACCATCTGGCAACATGAGAGAAATTTTCATGGTTGCTTACTAATTTCATCATTCCACATAAATATCAACCAATTTTTTCATACTCTCTAATATGAGTCAACATTTTTAGAGCATTCATGATTATAACTCATGGATGGGTGTTAAACCAAAATTTTAATATGTGTAGATAATTTAGTAGCTTAGTTTGTGTCCAATAATTTAGTTTATATATAAAAATGCTCTATAAAAGAATCCTTTGAACAACGCCTTTTTTCGAACAAGTAGGACTTATTTCACAAGTCATAAATTGATCAACAAAACCCGAGAATTGCTTTTATAAATAAATCATGAATTTTGATGTTGAGTTAGTCAAAGAAAATATATACTCCATTTAAAGATTCAAGAAAAAGTATTTATGGACCTCTATGTTGATTTTATTTCTTTATTCCCCTATATTCATTTTTTTGGGGTACTTTGCACCAAAAAATTATTACTTAACATATAAATTATACAACATATAAAAAATATTACATCATATTATACAACATGCACATAAGAAAATGTTAGTTTGCAAATTCAGACTAAAAATCTGAAATCATTTGGATGGATGAATCAGAAGTACAAAACTCATCAAGTGAGCTGAAACCATCTAGTAAGTGAAGTCATTCAGCGCTATTGGAATAACTATGACTTCATAATTTTGGACAAACTAACCAATATATAATGCCCTGGTTTTACCAATATATAATGCCCTGGCGACATCTAATCGGTGGTTATTTCGAGGGGTATGTTTGAAGGCAATTCAGTACTGGCAGCATTACCTCGTTTCAAGGTTCGCTTTTATTCGACAAGCAAATTATGTGAGTACCAAACAACGATAGATTTTTATTATAACAATACCAGTTTTGTTACTTTTATATCATGTATATATTTAAATCAGATATGATGGATCGAATTAAGAACTTGGATTCTTAGTTCGCACTATTTTTCAAGCAAATGTAAAAATTTAAGAAAATCGTTTAAACATTTTATGAAATCTGGTGATAAATAAAAGGAATACTTTTCAACGTTTTGAGTGAACATTTCTTATTTATTGAAATAGTTCTTCCTATTAATTTCAGTCGGCTTGATCTGGCTCGAGTTTGGTCGAGTCACGATTTGGAATTTGTTAAGTAGTTGGTTTCTCCATGTCGAGATTTTAACAGTTGACATTTTAGATTGTCGGAATTTTAGTTCCCTTAGGAGCACGCTCTTGTATGACAGTTCACCCGGATCTCCGAGCTAGACCTGAGCATTCTCTTGTCTCTCTTACGATGGTCCTGTTTTGCGAGTTCCTGACTTTCACTTAATAATTGACCTTGAGGGTGAAAACTATTTTATTTACTTTAAAACTCTAGTTATCATTTATAGGTTATGGGTTTTAGCTTTTCGAATATCCCTTATTATTTTTGTTACGTTTTCTCATTTATTAATTTAGTTGAGCATCTTTATTTCTAATAAAAGAACTAGTAAGAGCTTTTTGTCTTGATTCAATTGCTACCCCGTTATAGGAAGAAACCATCGGCGTGTTCGCCGTGCGTGGAGACCCATGTCCCTGGAAAAGAGGATCCTGGAAGTTTAGGGGCATCCTGGTACCCCAACGCACTGCTTTGACTCATGCTTCAGGTAAACGGGAGCTAACCTCGAATATCATTTGTTGACTAAGATCAAGGTCAGGGTAACTTACTGGCCACCTCGTTAAGGGTGGGGGCTACTTCAGGAGTGACTTTTGGGAGTAAGGCTATTGGTCAGCAATGGTGTTAATTCATCTCTGTTACTTGCATCCCCTATGTTGGACTCTGTGGTGGATAGCAGTATAAGTGTGACAATTTTCTTTATAAAAATAAGTGAAATTTCCTCTTGTTTACCACTTACAGATGACGGCAGATTATTTGTGGATGACTTTCGCATCTTTTGTAGAACTACACATTATGCACACCATTGAGCGCCAACTCCAATATGCAGTGAATAAAATTTTACAGTGGGCAGATTTGAATGGTTTTACTTTTTCTCAGACAAAAACATCATGTGTACACTTTTGTCACAAGGAATGTATCCATCCTAATCCCGAAATATTTCTGAACAATTCCCTCATTCCCATTACAAACGAAATTAAATTTTTAGGACTGATTTTAAACTCAAAACTGACATTTAATTTCATATTTATTACTTAAAGAAAACATGTATGACAAAGTTAAATCTGCTTAAAGTTTAATCAAATTGTTCATGGAGGGCTGACACAAATTCCATGCTTAAAATTTAGAGAAATATCATCCAATCAAAACTGGATTATGGTTCTGTAGTTTATAGATCTGCCAGACCATCTCCACTAAAATATTTAGACATAATTCATAACATCGGCATACGTATAGCTACGGGTGCTTTTCGCACTTCACTTATAAAAATTTTAGAAATATTAAATAATGAATCATCGCTCATTGTCCAACGAACGAAGTTAGCTTTAAATTATTACTTTTATCTAACGAATCATCCTGATCATCCCATATTCGGCGAGGTTTTTGCACCAGACTATGAAGTCCATTTTAACAATAAACCCTCCTGTACTCCGATTTTTGGATTCAGGATGTAAAAGCTTTTATTTGTTTTAAATATAGAGGATTTTAGTATTTACCAACTTACTCTTTGGAGTATCGCATATTTTAATACAATTGATATATTTAAGAATGATACTAAACAACAAACATCAGCTCATATTTATCTAAGAATGTTTAATTTACATAGAATATAATATCAGGATTTTAATCCAATTTTTACAGACAGCTCAAATACAAATAATCATACTGCCATAAGATACTATTCCAGAGAAACTCAGCCTTGAATGTTCAGTTTTCACTAGTGTTTCTCACACAATTCTCAAAAACACATAAGAAATGGCTCATCTATACTGACTCAAAAAGTGCATGGCAGCAATAATGAACATCATTCCTAAGACCCCATTCTATCATAAACGATATTAATCATACTTAGGAAATTCTACACAATTTGGGTTTTACTATTCTGTTATCTTGAATTCTTGGTCACTCTGGTATTCTGGGCAACGAAAGTGCAGACGAATTTTTTAAAGTCACCCGAAACCTTTCAAATAAAACACCAACTTATTCTAAAATTGAAAACACAATCTGTCTTAAGTTACTATCAAAATAGCAGAAAATTAAAATGAAGAAACACGTAACAAATTACACAGTCTTAAATCTATAATATTTCTGCGATTAACACTGCCTAAAAAACTGCAGAAATTTTAAATCGTTTGCGCATTAGTCACATGCGTAATAACGCACGAGCATTTTCTACTTGGCGAACCTGCACCAGACTGCTCTAGCTATAATAAGCCTTTAACTGTGAAACACATTCTAACTCAATGACACAAATTTAAATATAAAAGACAACCCTATTTTGACTGACAGTACCCTAATCAACATTTACTCATTGGTGATAAAACTCATAACAATCTTTTCGTTTACTTGAAAGACATTGGATTTTATAATTTAATTTAGTATAGACGCAAAAAATTGCAAAATAAACCAAGGGACTTGATTGCAAAATCCATGGACCTGTAATTTGTACCAAGTTTATGATTCGGTATAGCCATTTTCGTCTCTTGCGCTAGAATTACAAATTAACTAAGAAGACGAATTTTGATAATCATAAATTTGATCTGACAAGATTTTACCCGTTTAAAATTTAATTCTTTTGGGTTTTGACATGGTTACGTTATTTACTTTCGTCCCTGTCGTGATTTTGGCTATCGAATTTCAGTTAGTCTTTTCAGATATGGCATGTTCTATTTTGTCTCTTCTTTTAAAAGAAAAGCGAAAACGTTATCTTAATAAATATTAATTGGTTTTCATTATAATACTTAATATACAGTCCTACATTTTTATAATTTTTAATAAATAAAAAAAAGAAATTTCGTTATGAAAGTAAAGATAATTAAAAGCAAGAGTAAAATGTGACAAGAATAAAATATAGCATTTTGAATGCTTAGTGTCTTGCAGTATACAACATTTTTATTAATAACTTTTCCGTGTATTAAAAAGGAAAAATTACGCCAATGGTAAACAATTTCATACTATAAATTTTTTTTAAAATTTAAAATTACACTTTTTAATTAAATTTTTCAATTACATAAAATTAATGTAAACAAATGAAGGCTAAATCCTAAGATAAAAAAAAAATTGGGCTCACTTTCTCTTAAGAATATGTTCAAACATCTAGTTTTGGTAAAATAAATTTATTTTGCATAGAAATTTTGAGAGTAAAGAGTATGTATACAACTATAAAATATATATGTCCATCATAAACTAAATTTTTATGACAAAAAGTTATTATTAATAATTATTATTAAAAATTATTATTAAAAGAATAAATAAAAATTATTGTTTTGCAATAAGAATTTTTTTTAAAAATCGTTGAGTTAAAATCTTTAAAAAAAAATTTATTGCGATGACTTATGAAAATTTATGTAAAAAAATTACCCCTCAAAAGTTTGTCTAATTTATCTAAACATATGTTCTAGTACAGTGAAGTATTACATTTTATTGAGGTTAGATTTACTTTACATTTACGTTATATTATATACTTCAAGTATATATATAGTATCTGGCTCATTATATCCGGTTTTACCTTTGCCTATAAACTCTAAACTTATTGAAATTTTCTTTTCAGTTTATTCATAAAGGCTCCATGCATATTTTTCTACTAAGGCCATGAGATCCTATTTAGCCTTCTACAGAAAAATTTTCAATGGTCTTGATTTATGATAATATTTTTTAAAAAATATTCAGCTTCTAAATCTATAATATACAATAAAACTTTTCACAGAAAGTTTTTAACAATCTAGATCTGTAATAATAATTCAATATATTTCCTAATACTAAATCAAAAAGATCTACAGTTTGAAACCAGAAGTTTATATATCATAATAATATCATAATTCATAAGTATTCACTTACCAGCACTATAACTTGTTCCTACAAAAAACACGATAGTAATATAAAGAAAATGTATCATGTTGTAAAATCTGTCTTTCATAGTAATCACAAGAATTAAATCCAAAATTAAAAGTTTAAAACATTTGTTTCCTGTGAAACGACTGTTTCAACAGCAATCCATTGGTAAATTATCATATCACAAGTCAAAAGCTTCTGATCATAATAGAAACAAATCGTGATGTTCAAATAATTAAAAAAATATTTATAATATTAAATACTTAATTCTTTTATTTACATGTACAATAATTTAAAAAATAAATTAAATTAGGAGAAAATAATCCATTGAGCATTATTAAAAACTATTGATTTCAAACATTTTTCGTAGTTGAGTAGTGTAAAATTTGACTCAGTTTCTTTTCAACTCAATCCGAGTTCTTTCATGAAACAAGGGATTCTGGCATAGAGCCGGAAATGAGGAATGAGATCGTTGGCAAAATCACAAACTCACTGAACACATCGCCATCTGAGTGCTCAGACATTCAGAATGCTTCCGAAATTCGTTGAGAAACTCGAATATTCATCTTATGCACTTTGAGTATTTTAGAAAAGCACCCTTTTAATTAAAAAAATACCAAATAATAACATAATGTTCAATACTCTAATTTTTTTCGTTTCGAAATATGTCATAGATTTTGGATAAAATAAGTATACACGTTACACTATAAAGATTTTTAATTGATGAGAACCGAGAAATTAAATTTTCACAATTTTAAATCATTAAATTTTTATAGTTTAAAAAAAAACTATACGGTTTATTCTCTGTCAAATGGTGAAAAAATTATGTTTTTATACCAATAAGAAAGTGAGGTACGAGTTCATTTTTTTTCCATGATAAATTTCAACGGATGCTGAAATTTGAATTAAATTCTTTTTATATTAAAATGCTTTAAAAAATGTTAAATAATTTCACAATTTTATCAAATATTTATTTCAAAAACAATGAAAGGTATCTACTTTAAATTTGAAATATGATATTTTAGATAAAATCATAGAAAGTTCATCCTCGCTGACAATTCTTTCTGTTTTAATTATTAGTACTCAGAAAAATTTAAATATCCAATGTCACTTTCTTTAAAAAAAATCGTGGTAATAACGTGGAATGTAGTCAAATCAATCGAAGACAAGAAATTGTACCTCCAACTAACACCTAAGGGCAATTTAGGAGAATATGAGGAGTAAATTTTAATATTAAGCCAGTTTTAAAAAAATCCCACTAGTCAAAAAAAATTTTAAAAATTCTCAAATTGTCCATTTTAATGTTACTTTGATGTGTACAGTGGAAATTGTGTGTTTCGGACTAAAAAAAACTATTTTAAAAATGTTTTCAAGCATTTTTAGACATACATGACACCCATATTTTATATGAAACCAGTTTTAAAAAATTCCCGATATTCAAAAATAGGTAAAAAAATTCACAAATTGTCCATTTTAATGTTTCTTTGAAATATAGACTGGCAATTGCGTTGCTTTATTTTTGGGATTAAATAAAGCTATATTAGAATTTTTTTTTAATTATTTGTAGACATATCTGGACATTTTCAGAGAATATGATGTTTATATTTTAATAGGAACCAGTTTATATTTTGTTAAGAAATTCTCTAACTGTCTATTTTATTGCATATTTTAAGACGTGTATGGGTATTTTGCAAGAATATGACACCCATATTTTTAAAAGAAACCAGTTTTTAAAGAATAACGCTTTTCAAAATATTTTAAAACTTCGAAGTGTCTGTTCTAGTGTTTTTTCATTATGTACGCTGGAAATAGGGCATTTTGGAAATAGAGTATTTTAGAGAATACTATTTTAAAAAAATAATCTTGAAATAGTATTTCTAGTTATTCATGGGCAATTAATGAGAGTATGATGAGTAAATATTATCATGAAACCAGTTTTGAAAGAATCCCGCTATTGAAAAAAAAAAAATTCTAAATTTACGAAATGTCTATTTTATAGTTACTTTGATACATACTTTAAAAATTGCGTATTCGGGATTAAATCAAGAACTTTAAAAATTTTCTTTAAGTGTTTTTAGACATAAACGTGTACTTTCAGAGAAAATGTCGCACATATTTTAATTTTAAACCAGTTTTATAAGATCCCTGATATTTGTAAAATATTTTTTGATAAAGGAAAAACTGCCCATTATAATGTTACATATTTTAATGTTATCGAGATAAACATATGGTAAGACCAATAGTAGTGTATGTTCTAGAGCAGGCGTTGCCGAACTTTTTTGATCATTGACCCCTACATAATTTTTCGAAATCTCCATCGACCCCCAAGTAATTTTCTGTTAATTAAAATAAATTCTATCAGATACTGTGTTTGTACATTTATTTTATGATTTTGCACATTTATTAAAGTAATAGTACATAGTGTAACAATAGTTTTATGAAAAATATATTAATGTTGAAATATAAATACCTTAATATTTATGAAATAATAAGTAAGTATAAGTAAGTATAAATAATAAGTAAAGTAACTACGGATTTATTGCCTCTTAATCAATGACATGGGTGTGCCTGGTATTTTTTTTAAATTTCTTTTTTGTTGCAAGGTTTGTTATATTGGGTTCAAAATTGGTCAATTTTAATCTTAAATCCCCTCGAAACTCCACATTTAAGTTATTTCTGTTCTTAATTAAGATTGAATTTACGTGACTGAAACCGGTTTCAACCATATAGGAACTTGGAAATGCTATCATAAATGGCTGAGCTATTTCGTAAAGTTTTACATATTTTTGCATTATATTTATATTTGTCCAAAACTTGCTTATTGTTAAATTTTTAAA